AATACATTCAGATGTTTGGACCTCTCCTAACCTTCCATTTTCTGGTTGTCGTTATTATGTTTTATTCCTGAATGAATATTCTCGCTTCATATGAGTAGTCCCCATGCAAAGAAAATCTCAGAACTATGATATTTTTGTCAGTTTTTATGTGTATCTTATTTTTAGATTGTATCATGAATTTTTCATATTATGTTTTTGGTGTTACTAGGATTCCATAATATATTATATTAGAACTCTACATCCTTAGCTCCTGTATCATTATAAGTAGTATGTACATATGATGAATAAAATCACCTCTGAATATCAAATCATATCTGTTCGGTAAGGGGATCTGTTTTCCACTTCTTTTTTTCTTTTAAAGGAAAAATGAGTTGATTGAACCACTAGTTTTCTTATGTTGTGTAAATCCATGAGCTTCTTAGTAATCTATATTTAGATTCATCAGTTGCTATGAGCTCCATATTTCAGTGTCAAATTGATGAATGCAGTTTTACATGATTACAGACAGTGTGCACTATTTTGGCCTTGATAACGACTTTACCACTTGCTCAGCTTTTCTTCTTTCACATTCTTCTCATAAAAAAGGTAGTTTACTACTCCAATTATGTGAATTTTGCTTTTGGTTATATTTTCTCGGCATTTCTTTCACTTTTTGGCAACTTAGCAATTACATACCTTTGTTTGCTCCCTAATGTTGATTTTTGGGCTCAATTAAGTGAATTGAGTAGAAAGCTTCCCCTTAAGTTGAAACGTTGTCTCCATTGTGGACAAGGTTTCGTGAACTTGTTTCTGTTATATTTGAGATGTATTTTTTAATAACCGTTTGATCAAAAACTTATTGGTTAAAAGATAATAAATCGAACAAAAAATATAATATATTGAATAACGTATCAGGGTGGTTGAATGTTCTGTCTATATAAACAAATGTAGGGGAAGCATATATTATATATGAGTCAATGATTTAAATAGAAAGTACAAATTAGTTGATGTGTGTAGACAAAATAAAATAATAATAAAGTATGAAAGAACATAACCCTTTGAAGATATTGTCAAAAGTTGAATGATTTGGGATTGAATTGATTTGATTAATGCATAAAATTAGTAATGTAGTCTGTTTGACAAACAACCAAACGAAAATTTAATTTCAGGACAACACAAATGTTGACTTTTGTGGCAAAAAGCTATATTTGCTTCCATCATTTTTGACTCCACACCCACCTCAACTCTAAGACACATGCATTATTGAATTGGTTCATTTATTGAAATTTTGTTTAAAATGGGTTATATATATATATATATATACATACATATATATTTCAATCAATTTTAGGGAATGTTGTATTAATGCATCTTGTAAATATACTAATTACTAAAATCAAATTGAATTGTGAAAAAATGAAGAAAGAGCATTCTTACCTTTCAAAAGATCTCTTGTGGGTTAAATTTAATTTAACTTGTTAAGATATTAAAATTAAAATTACCTTTTCATGAAATAGTTTTGTGAAAATTACTTAGAGAGAGAGAGAGAGAGAGAGAGAGAGAGAGAGAGAGAGAGAGAGAGAAAAGTGTAAAGAAATAGAAGGAGAATATTGAATCTTGTTTTAATGGTTTTAAAATCTTAGCTTTAACTTTAAGCTTGCTAAATTCTTCAATGAAGTTTTGATACTACATGTATTGTAATGTACTTTAGTTATGTTTAGAATAAATTATCCTTTTAAGTGCTTATATATTGTGGTTTAATTCCTATATCTATTATGTATGACTCAATATTATTTTAATATTCTTTTATATAATTTTTTAAAATTACTCATAAATAAATGTATTAAATTTGAGATAAATTTTAAATATTTTAATATTATTATCTAATTATCCAAATATTCAAAGCTCGAAGAACTTAAGGGCCACAAGCTACCAAATGATCTAATCTTTCAAAATTGGGATCAAACATTTAGACAAAATCAACCCGTAATCGTCTTGATAAGGTTAATTAATTAGCCTAATTGTACAATAATGCATGTTACGTACATATATATATATATGTATAGACATAGTTCTTTTTAATTTGTACACGTATTTGATATGTTTGGTGGGAAACTATACATAAACGAGTATTTTACTATAATTTTTGTTTAATTAATAGACAAAATTATACGTATCTACTCTTTGGAATTTAATCAAGAATACTAAATCCTCTATATTATTTACCATGTTGACATGTAGATATTATATATATACATATATGCGGCAACACGAAGTTATATCAACATGGGATAATTAATGTTTCAAATTTCAAAATAAAAACAACTTTGACCGCATAGAAATTATTCAAAGTTTGAGAATAAGAATTAAAATGAAAACCACAGAGATATTGATTTATGAGATAAAGAAAAATAGTAGCCGTAATTGGATAAACAAAATAACAAGCAAAAGAATATATTCAAATACTACGTCGTTTTCGTTAACTGAATAATTTCAGACCTTCACAAAATTCAATAATTGAACCAGCCACGTACAAAACGACATTTCTAATAAATGCTATTAACATGAATTATTAGTGAAGTTATCAAACACATAAAAATAATTCTGATCAGACCCACGTTGTTCATTTATTACTTACTATTGAAGTTATAATTTTTAATAAAGTATATAATTTATAAAATTAATTCTTAATTTTTATAAAGAAGTTTTCTTTTATATAATTTGATACCACCCAGAATTCCAAAAATGGAATAAACACTAAAGGTGGCATATATATATATATATGTATATAGATATATATATATATATAGAGAGAGAGAGAGAGAGAGAGAGAGAGAGAGAGATGCGTGTGGGAAAGCTAAAGTTCTTAATGGAGGGTGGTAGTTGGTCAACGTTTCAGCAAGAAGGAGGATGGTTCGGGTAGGACCCACTTGGAGATTTGTTGGTAAAAGTGGGTGATTGTGATTCGACGGTCAACGATGGACGTCTACTATCACTTTTTTTGAATTTTAATTTTAATTTATTTAAATTAAACGTCTCGTCTTCTTTATTTATTTGTTTTTGGTGGTGGGTGACGGGCAGCCCGCAAGTTGGTTGTTACGCAGTCGTTTTATCATCTCGCTCGAAGCTCTCGACACTTTTGTGAAATTACCAAGAAGAAATTCTCTTCATTTGCTGCTGGTTATGGAGGAAGTGAGTAAAGACTGCGACTTGACTCGGCCGAGTGGCGTATGAGGCGACTGGGTCACCGTAGAGAGTGGAGAAGACGACGACCGCCACTGGGTTGGGTTCTTCCGTATCACGTTGAATTTTGCAGCCATGTTTCTCGCGTTCTTTAGTCAACTTCTGCAAGTACAGTAATATCCACTCAAGACTATATAATTTTCATATTAAAAAAAAAAAAAAAAAATTTTTGAAAACTTTGGAAAACTTCGTCAAATCATTACAAGTAAGAATATAATAATTAAGAGAGAGCTCACACGATGAACCCAAAAAAAAAAAAAAAAAAAAGAGAGAGAGAAAAGTAGTGATTAAACACGTGTTAGTAAGTCAAGTGTTGGTGGTATTTCAAGAACCGAATGATGAATTTAATTAATTCATTTTTTGAGAAGACGACTCCTCGTATTTAAGGTGCGGGCATTACCCACTAGGATACACTCACTCATTTATTGTATTCTCTTCAATACATAATCTTTGGGAATACCGAGATTATATCTATTTCTTAATCTCGAAATTATAATCTTTTACAAAAACATATAATTATGTGTCACGCTCACATGTAAGGTGTAAGAAAATGATTAGGATGAAGATGTTTCTATATATACACATAAAATTGCGGTCTAAGAAAAATTGGGAAGCAATCATAACTATAAAGAGAGAGAGAGAGAAGTAGAAGAGATTTGGATGGATGACAAGAAGAAAGATTACCAAGAGATTTGGAAAGTTGTCATTAAAAAGAAACTTGGAAGACTTAAAATTAGAGCAAGTGGGTTAAATGGGCAATCATCCTCAACACCATAAGAAGATTTGTCAACCTCATAAACCCACTGCTACAATGCCTCCTACTCCCACTAGCCTATATATATATATATATATATTCATTAATTTTGAAGTTAAACTAAACAATTCATGTGATGGAAGTTGAATTTATATATAATTTTATTATATTTGAAATCATATATTCCATCAACATTGATAAATTTTGAAATATATTGTTCCAATTCTATATGGAATTTCATGTATACACATTTTCTTTTGTCATCTCACAATAACTTACACATTTTTCTAATTAGACTAAACCTATTAAAGACTTTATTAATATGTTCAAATATTAACCTATTAAAGATTTTAAAGTTTTATCATGTAAATTTTATTGAACAAACTCAAACTATCATTTATTTAATTTAAAAATTTCCTTAGATAATAGTGTGTGTGTGTGTTATTTTTCAATGAGTTAAAAATAGAAAACTTGCAAAAAAGAATATGCTTGAGAAACACGTTTGGTGTTTATAATATTACGCGTTCTTGCACCTTAAACTGCAACTAAGAAGTTTCTCAATGATAATCATCTAAAGTTCACGTCAAATAGTTAAGAGAAAATAAGATTTAACATAAAGTTCACGTCAAATAGTTAAGAGAAAATAAGATTTAACATAACAAGTTATGTTAGTAATGTTTTACCAACTCGGAACTCTTTTGGGCGAGACACGTGTAGAATGACCTGTAATTCAAGTAACTCCTGCAAATGAGAGTGAAAAATAAGAAGTTTCCTCCTTTCATGTAAAGTTTTAAGCTCCTACTCCTCGTGGCAAAGAAACAAAGGATTGAGTAACCTATGCTTAAAATCCTTCCAAGTAAAAGAAAAGTCGAGCATGGTAGTTTTGATAGTACAGTTTAAGGATAACAAGGGCTTATCTCGTTGGGGGTTTGTCTTTGATGTTGATATGCTTTCTTATAGGCTCATTTATGTCAATCCATTTGCCACATTCTTTGCACTTCTTAGCGTGCCAACTATTTAGTCATTTTGGGATAACAACAATGGCAATTCATTGGTTTATCAATATATGTGAGGCTATTCATCCTCTAAGAATGTAGCGTCGTTTCAACAATGCAATCTCTTGAGAATATCGTACTAATCAATCACTTGAATAATAATGGAACAAACTAATACATAATTTTATTCTATTACAAAATATACTTAACTATTGAATAAAAAAGAGAAAAGCAAAAGATAACATAAATGGAAAAGCCATAGCAACGAGAACTCTGGCAACAATGTCCCTAACCCACATGGTGGTTCTCAATGTATATTCGATTCAATCGAGTGAGAATCGAATAATTTCATGTCCACTTGATATACAAACCAACTAATAAAAGGTTACATGTGACGTTAGTTTAAGAGATTAATCAACCAATTCCTACATATAGCCATGTGATTTACAAACAATTTCTTCCATTTAGTTTGATCTGTTTGAAAGTCTGTAGCAGCAATATTTTTAACAGTAATTATCAACATTCAAAAAATAGTAAGTTGAAAACAGGAAGAAGAAAGAAATTGTCTTAAAAGTATATGAGAAAAAAACATTTTTTCAATCTCTAAACTGAATCATATACAGAAACTCTCTAAAAATTTGAGAATAGTACAAATCGTAGAGTCGCAGCTGTTGTTTCGGTTGTCCCCTAACACGAAGACATGGACTCTAGGAACATACTACAAATCAAAATCCAAGGAAGAACAACAAATTGTCAATTTACTATTAACTCCCAACTTTAGATTTAGAGAAGAAACTAGCCCTCAAAAAAAAAAAACAAAAAACAATTCCACCAGATTAATTTTTATACATTATTCATCCTAGCAGCTTATCTCCATTTCTTCTTAGAATAAATTTTGTCGAGCACTAGGGGAGGGAAACATAGAGAGATAGGTGATAGGAAACTCATGATTACGTCAAATGTATATACTGGCTTCTCTACTAAAAAATCTTTTCGCTGAGCAATTCCATTGAAATAGAGCAGTCCACCACGAACATGCAATATATAAGGGTTCATTTCAACTGAGACTTACTTGAGTTCCATTTGTTTCATACTAGTATGATGAACTACAATACATTACCAGACATCGACTACTAAATCTGTAATTATGTAGTTGGATTAATGGGTGGAAAATTTACCAAATTGGCAAACAATTTCTTTCGACACTATCCAAACAATAAAATCTCATAGTTGTCTTTCGAAATTAACCAGACATGAAATATCTCAAATAACAGTATCAATTGACAGTAAACTTAGTATTTGAAGATAGAGTCAGATTGATTTATTTCCATGTAAATTTTAAATTCTACTGACTTACAGAGGACAGTACCTCAACAGAATCTCCAGCTCTGACAACAATTCTCTTAATCAAAACATCTTGGTTCCTAAATCAAGGTTGCTGTAGGCAAAGCAAAACGATAATGAAGTCTCATAATAGAATTTATTATCATAACTCTTAGCATATAAGAAAAACTCCAACCATATCAAGAAGTCGTAAAGGAGTTTGGAATGTTATAATATCACCTATTGCATGCCTTCTGATGTAATACGAGGTCTGAAATGTCAAAAAACCAAAATTAAAATCAAACCCTGACGTAAAGAAATATTATTTGGGATTCATATGAATTATCAAAACAATAGAACTACCTTAATGAAAATGCAGCATCAAATCCATCATGACGGAATTCCAAAAATAACATACTGCAAGTAACTAATTGATACCAAAAGGAACACAATAAAGGTGACCATTGTTGTTTCTGAATTTCTTTATCTACGGATCAGAATCTATAAGTTGAAAAGTCAGTTATATCTTTACACATATGTTCAAATAGCATATCTTCCACTTTGTAACATGCCTAGGTCTTTTATGGATTTTCTTTTTCTCTTGCACCACTTCAAAGCAAGGAAAATGACATGGTTCTCTAGTGATTTGGAAAAAGAGGTAGTACTCCAACTAGATGACTTTAATTTCTGAAACATGAAAGTAAACACGATCCCTAATTTTTTTTAACAAGAAAAAGATTATCCCTAAAACTCTGAACCATTGTCCCGTCTTTCCAAATTCATGCATAGCTAACTTGAACATAATGTTAAAAGATAAGCACCTACTTCCTTCACTCCCTACCAGAGCAAAGTGACCAGAGACATCTGATACATTACAAATTAAAGCAGAATCCAGAAAACTCCCAATTTTAATTTAAATTTAAATTTTTTTTGGGTGGGTGATGTCATCTAGCAACTTTGTTATTTTGCAGTCGTTTTATAATCTCTCATACTCAAATTTTGTGAAATACCAAAAAAAGACGTGAATATTATTACACTTTATGACCTGCTATACAAGCGCACCCGCTATGAAAAAGATCAGACACATAAATTATATAATTTACATAAATATATAATGTACGTCAGTATATAATTTATATTAATTGTTAAAAAATAAATATAAGAATTAAAAAAAAAAATAGTACACAGGCAGACAAATGGGAGATAGGGAGAGCCAGACAAAATAATATATTAATATCCTGTGCCATCTCCTCATCCCCCCAAAACCAACAATACATAAATTTTATTACACTTTTTGACCTGCCATGAGAGCGAACCCTCCATGGCAAAGGTCAGACACGTAAATTACAATACTTGATCTTGTCAGTTCTAATAACATATAATTTTTTCTCATCTCACAATTTTTCCACACATCTCACTCTCATTCCTTCAACACAACCAATCAGGCCTGGAACACCACATATGAGCTTTCCCAGTGCCATATGACCATACTTACACTACAAAACTAGATCTCATGGGAACTGAACGGTTACCGATTCTTGAAAAACTGCAACAAAAGGATAGATCTCAAAATGTCTCTAACCTGATTGGCAAAAATTCAACTTAATTATTCTGAAATTGAGTCCTTCTCTACTATTCTTAAATCATATATCAAATTTTTGCAGGAACTACACAATCAATTAATAGCTATACGATGAAAATCGATATTGTCGTGCACAATTCAAATACAATAGTCACATGCAACATTGTAATAACTAACAGGATAATTCAAACCATAGTTTACTAAAAAAAAGTTACCCACAAAATGTTGTATGAGTACAAGAAAGGAATATCGTATAAAATTTTGAAAGAAAAAATTGATAACAGCAAAACACAAAAAAGAAAGAGAAAAAGGTTATTGGTTCACTTATCAGAATTTCTCCTCTAGCTTAGATCTAGAAATTTAAAGTCTTAGCCTTTAATTTGATAGAATACTTATTTCATGCTTTAACTTCAAAGAGAAAAAAATATATTAAATATATGAAAAGAAAAAGAACCTGCAGACTTGATCGAGTGAAAATATGAAACGAATCAAAACAAAACAGCCAACAAAGGAAATAAAGCATATTTGAAAATTTTTTGGAGCTAGATACATTAGGATTCAACAAACAATTTCATCTCAATAATACAAAAACAAAACAAATTGTTGATGAATAAGGAAAAAAAATAAAGATTCATGATCCATGTACCTACGGTCTTGACCAAGAAAAGATATGAGAGGAATCTTAACGAAACAGTCAACGAAAGAAGGAGAAAGCAAGAAGCGTTAACAACATATTATATACCCGAATCAGAGACTGTTCTTGAGATGTGGAGCAACTCGAAGTTGATGACATCCAATAGGAAAAGAGAGATAAAAAGGGAGATAAACCTTACGACGGAGGATGATAAATTTGGAAAAAAAAAAAAAAAAAGAGATTCAAGATCCGACACCTGCAGTCTCAATAAAAAAAAAGTACGAAAGGAATCAAAATGAAATAGCCAATGCAGGAGAGAGAGAGGAGTGATAACAGCATATGAAAGAACCAAATCAGATACTATTCTTGAGATTTGGAGAAATTCCAAGTCGATGACATCAGAGATAAAAAGAGAAAAAGAAAAAACGAGACAGACGCATAAGGATTCAATCAACAATTCTATCTCAACGATACAATACAAAGCAAAATAATGATAAATTTGAGAAAGAAAGAAAAAAATAAGAACAACACATTGCAAAAAGTTAACCAAACCATATAATGGTTGAGGTAGCAAGCTGCAAAATGCCATTTAATATCCACCAAACAGCCAAAAGAGAAGAAACTGTTAGAACAGATCAACAACCGAGAAAAGGGTTCTTTTTAGAAGCCAAATCTTCCGGAAAATTGAGGATCATTAAATTAGTCTTTCACCTGGCTTTTTTAGCATGCTCTTGCTTTCCAAGGAACAAAAAGTGGGCTATTGAGCATTCATTCTAATAGTCCAAAACATAATCAACTACCAACCTATATTAAACTTTGCGCAGGCAGATTTTCCAGTAACACAGAATATATGCAAATCAACTCACACACTTTTGAGTTTCATATACTCCGATTAGTTAGACTCAATGGAGCATCCAAACACACTGGGTAGGGTAGATGATCAATGTAAACAAGAAAAGAACTCATGTAATAAAATCAAATGCAAACAAAAAGTGGTCAAGGCATACCAACATGGCCTTTGATAGACTGTTCAAATTACGTATTCATTTACCACAAATATTCATAGATTCTTCAAGTATAAGTATGCATGAATACTAAAGTCACAAAGCAACCAGCAAAATTCCCTTATTGCATCACCAACCGATTGTGAGTAACAAATACATGAAGAACGGTGAAATTTTAAAAGAAAACTGACAAAAAGGAAAAAAAAAATCAAATATGAGCAGCAAAAGAAAACTGGGCAATAGATGCCTCCCTATCTTTCACACATTTCTCATATTTCCTTCAAATTTCATGTTCAACCAAAAAAAAAAGGTTCCAGGAAAAACCAAAAGAATACCTATAGGATTGATGCAAATAAATATACATACCAGCTTAATCACCAGTATTAACAAAGCACAAAAGCAACAAACATTAAAATCGATCCTAACCATTGAATTTTAAATTTATGTCCAACAATGGCACTACAGCAGAATAAGAATGCATATTAGAGTTGAAGAGCATAGAGAATAAGGTCGGTAAGAAGCAAGAGCATAGAGAACAGGGTCAGTAAGGAGCCTTCCTTCTCAGAAACAGAAGAAGAAGATAAATCCAAAAGATGAGATTTGTAGCATACCAACAATTCCTCCACACTATCTCAAGACCTCGATATAAACTTCTACACGAACTCCTTTTCTGTCAAAAGCACCACCTCATAAAAACTCAAGTCCTCTTTGCTACAACTTCTCAACCTCAAAACTTGCAAAACCCCGTGACAAGGAAAGATTCTATCTTCAAAACTGTACGCCAAGCAGACAGGTTCTCAGCTAAAATTTCCTTCTCAAACCCAATTATGCTCAAGAAGAATTGGATTTTTGTCTTCAACTTCTCCTTGGAGGTCATAAGAAGAAGCTAACCCTCGAAACATAAACACACTTTAATTTCTCCGGAAACCCATAACTTACAATCAAATCAAATTTTTTCTTGAAACTTTTTCCACTCAGGCAATTGATCATATTATGTTGCCCAAACGAGCATCTCCTTGAGTTAACTGAGAAACTCATGACAAAAAAAAGAACCAAGCAAGATCAGAACCCAAAAGAGCTCCTCCTTACTTTATTAGTGGAGTCTCATAATAGAATTTATTATCATAACTCTTGGCAGATTAGAAAAACTCCAACCATATGAAGAAGTCGTAAAGGAGCTCGGAATGTTATAATATCACCTTTGCAAGCCTTCTGATGTAATATGAGGCCTGAAATGTCGAGAAACCTAAACTGAAATCAGACTTGATGTAAACAAATATTATTTGGGATTCATATGAATCATGAAAACAGCAGAACTACCGTAATGAAAATGCAGCATCAAATCCATCATAATGGAATTCCAAAAACAACATACTGCAAGTAACTAATTGACACCAAAAGGAACAAAATAAAAGTGGCCATTGTTGTTTCTGAATTTCTTTATCTGCAGATATGATTCCATAAGTTGAAAAATCAGTTAATCTCTACACATTTGTTCAAATAGCATATCTTCCACTTTGTAGCATGCCTACGTCTTTTATGGGTTTTCTTTTTCTCTTGCACCACTTCAAAGCAAGGAAAATGACATGGTTCTTCGGTATTTTTTTTAACAGGAAAAAGCTTATCCATAAAACCCTGAACCATTTTCCGGTCTTTCCAAATTCATGCATAGCTAACTTGAACGTAATGTCCACGGAGAAGCACCTACCTCCTTCCCTCCCTACCAGAGCAAAGTGACAAGAGACTCTGATACATTACAAATTAAATTAAATAATTTACGTAAATATATAATTTATACCATTGGTTAGAAAATAAATATAAGAGATAGCAAAAAAGAAAAAAGTACACAGGCAAACAAATGGAGCTAGGGAGACCCAAGCCAATTTATATATTAATATCCCGTCCGATCTCCTAATTCCCCCGAAATAAAAAAGAACGTGAGTTTTGTTGCACTTTTTGACCTGCCATGTGAGCGCAGCCACCATGGCAAAGATCAAACACGTAAATTACATAATTTACGTAAATATACAATTTATACTATTGGTCCAAAAATAAATATAAAAATTAGGGCAAAAAAAATTACACAGAAAAAACGGAGATAGAAAGAGTTGACCAAAATAATATTTTAATATCCTGTGCCAAGCCAATTTATATATTAATATCCTGTCCCGTCTCGCAATTCCCCCAAAACCAAAAGAAAAACGTGAATTTTATTATGCTTTTTGACTTGCCATGCAATCGCACCTACCATGGCAAAGATCAAACACGTAAATTATATAATCTATATAAGTACATAATTAATACTATTGGTTAGAAAATAGATATAAAAAATAAGAAAGAAAAAAAAGTACACAGGCAGACAAATAGAAGATAGGAGAGTCGAGCCAAAATAATATATTAATATCCCATACCATCACCCAATCCCCTCAAAACCAAAAAAAAAACATGAATTTTATTGCACTTTTTGACTTGCCATGCGAGCGCATCCGTCATGGCAAAGGTCAAAAACTTAAATTATATAATTTATATAAATACATAATTTACACAATTAGTCAAAAAATAAATATAAAAGTTAGGAAAGAGATAAAAGTATACATACACACAAAACCAAAAAAATAATGACGGTGTGATAGGGAAAGTCGAGCAAAAATAATGTACTAATATCCTTTGTCATCTCCCCATCCCCACAAAACCAAAAAAATGTTAATTTTATTGCATTTGTATGGCTGACTTGCCATGCTAGCACACCGTCATAGCAAAGATCAGACACATAAATTATATAATTTATCTAAATATATAATTTATACCATTGGTCAGAAAATAAATATAAGAGGTAGCGAAAATAAAAAAGTATGCATGTAGACAAATGGGAGATAGGGAAACTCGAGCCGAAATAGTATCTCAATATCCCGTCGCATCTCCCAATCCCCTCAAAACTAAAAATAGGGTGAATTTTATTGCATTTTTTGACCTGTTATGCCAGGGCACCCGCCATGGCAAATGTTAGAATCGTAAATTATATAATTTACGTCAGTATATAATTTATATTAGTTGTCAAAAAATAAATATAAAAATTAAAAAATAATAATAATACACAGGCAGACAAATGGGAGATCGGAAGAGCCGGGCCAAAATAAAATATTAATATCCCATGCCATCTCCTCATCCCCCCAAAACCAAAAAGACAAATTTTATTGCACTTTTTGACCTGCCATGGGAGCGCACCCGCCATGGCAAAGGTCATATACGTAAATTACAATACTTGATCTTCTCAATTCTAATAACAAATCATTTTTTTCATCTCACAATTTTTCCACACGTCTCACTCTCATTCCTTCAACACAACCAATCAGGCATGGAATGCCACATATGAGCTTTCCCAGTGCCATATGACCGTAGCACACTACAACACTGGATCTCATTGGAATTGAACCGTTATCGATTCTTGGAAAACTGCAACAAAAGGATAGATCTCATAAGGTCTCTAACCTGACTAGCAAAAGTTCAACTTGATTATTCAGAAATCGAGTCCTTCTCTACTTTTCTTAAATCATATATCAAACTTTTTCAAGAACTACACAATCAATTAATAGCTATATGATGAAAACCAATATTGTAGCGCGCAATTCAAATACAATAGTCAGAGGCAACATTGTAATAACTAACAAAATAATTCAAACCATAGTTTACTAAAAACAGGGTACCTACAAAATGTTGTATGGGTACAAGCAAGGAATATGGTATAAAAATCTGAAAGAAAAAATTGATGATAGCAAACACAAGAAAGAAAGAGAAAGAAGCTGTTGGTTCACTTATCTAAATTCCTCTTCAAATTTAAAGTTTTAACCTCGAATTTTGATAGAACGTTTACTTGATGTTTTAACGTCAGAGATAAAAGAATATATGAAAAGAAAAGAAAAAGAACCTGCAGACTTGATCAAGAGAAAATATGAAACGAATCAAAACAAAACAGCCAACACAGGAAATAAAGCCTATTTGAGAAAAATTTTGGAGGTAGATACATTAGAATTCAACAAACAATTCAATCTCAATAATACAAAAACAAAACAAAATATTTATAAATACGGGAAAAAAAAATAAAGATTCATGGTCCGTGTACCTACGGTCTTGACCAAGAAAAGATATGAGAGGAATCTTAACGGAACAGTCAACGAAGGAAGGAGAAAGCAAGAAGTGTTAACGACATGTTATATATCCGAATAAGCGACTGTTCTTGAGATGTGGAGTAACTCGAAGTTGATGACATCCAATAGGAAAAGAGAGATAAAAAGGGAGATAAACGCTACGATGGAAGATAATAAATTTAAAAAGAAAAAAAAAAAGATTCAAAATCAGGCACCTGCAGTCTCAATCAAACAAATATACGAAGGGAATCAAAATGAAACAACCAATGCAGGAAAGAGAGAGAGAGGAGTGATAACAGCACACGAAATAACCAAATCAGATACTCTCCTTGAGATTTGGAGAAATTCCAAGTTGATGACATCAGAGATAAAAAGAGAAAGAGAAAAGGGGAGATAGATGCAATAGGATTCAATGGACAATTATATCTCAACGATACAATACAAAGTAAAATAGTAATAAATTTGGAAAGGAAAGAAAAAAATTAGAATAACACATTGCAAAAAGTTAAACAAACCATATAATGGTTGAGGTAGCAAGCTGAAAAATGCCAGTTAATATCCACCAAACAGCCAAATGAGAAGGAATTGTTAGAACAGATCAACAACCAAGAAAGATGTTCTTTTTAGAAAACAAATCTTTCAGCAAATTAAGTATCATTAAACAGTCTTTCGCCTGGCTTTTTTTGCATGCTCTTGCTTTCCTAGGAACAAAAAGTGAGCTATTAAGCATGCATTCTAACAGTCCAAAACATAATCAACTAGCAACCAAAAGGCCTAAAGGCATATTAGCCTCTGCACAGGCAGATTTTCCAGTAACACAGAATACATGCAAATCAACTCACACACTTTGGAGTTTCCTATATCCTATTAGATAGAGTCAATGTAGGACGCAAACACACTGGATACTGTAGGTGATCAATGAAAAGCAAGAAAAGAACTCACGTAATAACATCCAATGCAAAAAAAAAGTGGTCAAGGCACACCAACATGCACTTTGATAGACTGTTCAAATTGGGTATTCATTTACCGCAAGTATTGATAGATTGTCCAAGTATAAGTTTGCATGCATGCCAAGGTCACACATCAACCAGCATAAATTCCCTTATTACCTCACCAACCAATTGTGAGTAACGATTACATGAGGCAGGGTGAAATTATAAAAGAAAACTGGCAAATAGGAAAAAAATAAAAAATGAGCAGGAAAAGAAAACTGGGCAACAGATGCCTCACTATATTTCACACATTTCTCATATTTCCTTCAAATTTCATGTTCAACAAACAAAAAAGTTACAGCAACAACCGAAACAATACCTATAGGATTGATGCAAATAAATAAACATACCAACTTAATCACCGGTAATAACAAAACACAAAACCAACAAACATTAAAATTGATACTAACCATTCAATTTTAAGTTTACGTCCAAGAATGACATTACCGCAGAATAAGGATGCATATTAGAGTTGAAGGGCGTAGAGAGTAGTGTCAGTAAGGAGTCTTCCTTCTCAGAAGAAGAAGAAGATAAATCCAAAAGACGAGATTTGTAGCATACCAACAATTCCTCCGCACTATCTCAAGACCTCGATATAAACTTCTACACGAACTCCTTTTCTGTCAAAAGCACCGCCTCATTAAAACTCAAGTCCTCTCTGCTACAACTTTTCAACCTCAAAACCTGCAAAACCCTGTAACAAGGAAAGATTCTATCTTCAAAACTGTAGGTCAAGCAGACAGGTTCTCAGCAAAAATTTCCCTCTTAAACCCCATTATGTTCAAGAAGAATTGAATTTCTGTCTTCAACTTCTCCTTGGAGGTCATAAGAAGAAGCTTACCCCCTAAACATAATCACACTTTAATTTCTCCGGAAACCCATAGCTTACAATCAAATCAAATTTTTTCTTGAAACTTTTTCCACTCGGGCAACTGATCATATTATATTGCCCAAACAAGCATATCCTCGAGTTAACTGAAACTCATGACACCAAAAAAAAAAAAAAAAAAAAAAAAAAAAAAAAAAAGAACCAAGCAAGATCAGAAGAACCAAAAAGAGCTACTCCTCGAAAGAACTGGATATTTGGGTTAACAATCTTATTGAAGCCTGAAAAAGTAGGCTTCTGGGTAGCAGGACAGTGGACTGTATCTGGGTATCAGAGAATCTGCGCCTCTGAAAGAAATCACATATTGAGGATTTTCAGGGGACTTTATGCAAGAATACCGATTCTAAAAGTCGGGCACACTAGACGTCAAGAAACCCAAAGATTTGATTAAATTGTTGATCGCACCATATACCTGTGCCTAAAATTGATAATAGCGGAGGGGAAGAGAGAAAGACAAATGAACCTTCGGATTTCAGTGAGGGTTTTCGGCAGCTAAAAAGCTTTGGAAAATCTGCATTCCTAGAGAATGTTGGGAGGTACAAGAGCTAGGGTTGGTTTAGGATTTAACCAAACCGGGAACCACTGAATCGTCAGACCCCGAACAGGTGCGCCACTCATCAAGATTGAGAAAACAAAAACACAATTAACCTATTCAACGAACGATACCCGCGTTTTCCAGAATCCACGATAAACAATAAAGAAAACACTGCTGGAGGGATTAAATTCTTGAAATGTTGCAAGACCAAGAACTATTAAATTGCAAATCAAGTCGAAGATAAAATCCAAAGAAAATCAAAAGATTCACGTACCAACCGAATCGGAAATTTTTTCAGTGGGTTCCGCTATTGATCTTATCCGAAACGACAAATACAATCAAGAAAGAAGAGAGACACGGTGGGTACATGAACGCCGACAACATTGTCCGGATAAAGAAAATACCTCGATAAGCAGGCTCGCGGCGAGAGAAGATATTGTCGGTTATAGTTGAAAATATTATTCGTCTTCGTCTTCGTCGTGTTGGGCTTAAATTCTTTTTCATCCCGTGAGGCGCTCTGCTTCGGGACCTTCTACCCTTCTTTTTTCTTTTGTTTCTGAAAACTTGGGGATTTTCTACTTAGATAGAGAATCAGGGTTTGACTTTGACCGGAAATTTACATATCCAGCTGTCGTTATGTTATTTAATATATTTTAAAAAATCTGAATGACCATATTTTTTTGCAAATCTTGCATTATACATGCTTCCAACATTTGTTTTCAGGATGATTGAATTTACCACAAATTTTGCAAGAATGATATTTTCCTTGTTTTAATGAATCTTCTGAACTCTATGAATGTTTCACTTTATTTACTGAGTACTAACCTTCATCTTATAAAGTTGAAATCCTAAACTTGTCCCTGAGGCCTTACTTGAAAAATACTCTTAGTGATCCCATCATTTCTTATTGAAACCCTTTGCTTCTGAGCCTGTAGTTTACTAATAAGTTCAACAGCAGTAAGTTTTTCAAGATCACATGTTTTTTTTTTCTATCACAGATAACTTTCATTCAAACTTCTCAAGGAGGTTGATCATCATTTTTTCAGCGGCTCTCTGATCATTGAATTCTCCTCTAAGTAGCCTTATTTAATTAAAAAAATTCATAACTCTTGTAAAATACTCTTTAATACTTTCTTCCTCCTACATTCTTAACAGCTCAAACTCTCTTTTTAGAGTCAATAATTTCACACCTCTCGCTTTAGCACTCCCTACATATTCTTCCTTCAAATAGTCCCAAGCCTTCTTAGCTGTTTTGAAGGCCATCAACCTTACAAATATGTCTTCAAGCACTGTAGAATGAAGAATCAAAAGGGTTTTAAAATTCCTCATGGATCTTTCTGTGTCTTGCCTAATTTGGGGTAAAGTGGGATTTTTGGGCAATGGAACTCTTACAAGTACCTCCTCCATAATACTCCACAAATTATGTGATATTGCAAGTGCTAATTAAGACAAATGAGTGTCAGATATAGATTTAAAATAACGAGTGTATGATAAAATTTATGCAGCGAAATCTAATCATAACAAATTCCTTACAAATATATATAATATTCTAAATACATATATAAACTGAGACCAAAAGTGGCTACAAAATACAAAATATAAGAGCCACTTCTTTCATTATGTTACTGGATTCATTAGAGTGCGGGAATAGTCATGTACTCAGACTTGTGGATCCACGGGATTCTCATACACTTTTAACAGTAGGTCTGCCTACGGTTCCTCATTTATTTCCTCATCTAGGGGGGAAGACATAGAAACAGTGAGTTCCATATGCTAAGTAAGGAAAACAGTATTAAATTAACATCGTAAGATTTTAAAAATTTATTATTTTGTCTTACCATTTAGCTTCCTCGTTTACCTATCTCACTATTATGAAAACTATTTGTTTGAATATGAAAATAGTACGTTAGCAAAGAAGATCAAATATATATCATGCCAAATAATAGAGAAAATCAAATAAATTATAAAATGTACAGATTTTTCGTGCATACTTCACGAAGTCGTTACAAACTTCCATCTTTGATGGCAGATATAGATTTCTAACTACGCAAGTGGAATAAGGAAATCAGATACAGATACGAAAATTTATTCAGGCCCACTTCTAGTTGGCCAAACAATAGTGCGATCTATGATCACGACCGTACCAACCATCATAATCCTAACAGATATCTATCGTCATGACATTACTTAACCACGGGTGACCCCTACAGATAGTGCGATACCACTCTTGTCAGAGGACACGCCGTCATCTACTAAGAGTGGTTCTCTTACGTCTTTTCAGATCAAATAAGGGATGAGGAAACAGATACCCCGAAGAGTAAGGGGAACAGATACCCTCAGAGATAAAAAGGCTAACGAGATATTTGATTCAATATGCAAGTCAATACAGATACACTTCGGACCATACAGACTTCATTCCACTTTTCTCTTTTTCTTGTCTTTTTTTTTTTTACTTTTATTATTACGAATTACATATTATATTTATTACATGCAAATTCATCAAGTGTCTGTAATTCACATAGTATACTTGAAAACCAGAATAATTCAACTCATTTTAACATAGAAACATACAAAACAGATAAAATAACAATCATATTAAATTTGCTTATATAAAAATATTATTTAAGATGTTGAAAGTAATACTAGATTTCTTACCGAAATCTTGATGTTTTCTTCTTCATCTTTTCCTTTTATTCTCTTTTTCTCTCATTAATTTACTATCTCTTTCTCTCTCTCTCCACCGGTAGCTGCGGCGAGCCGCCCAAGGCAGCAGCAGTGCACTACCCGAGGTGGTAGTGCTCTAGTCGACGCACGCGGCACGCAGTAGGCCAGCGCAGA